GTCTAGCGAACGTGTTCTTTTTTCTATGTGCCTGATGTTGGTTCTGTGTTAATTCAGGGCTGAACCCTGAATCTACATATCATTTTGTTCTCGTCTATCCTAAAAGATAAAGTGCAAATAAAACTATATTTTTTTAATCAATTATTATTCTATTATGGTTATTTATACATTTACAACTACAAAACCATTTTTCGGTGTTTTACTTACTATAGTTATTTTTTTTAATGTACTTTAATTTGAGTGTGTTTTTTGTGTTGGAACGAATTATTTAGTTTTACATGTAATCGTATGGGAAAAAATGATTCACCTTACGACATTTTCATGATACGATCTCAGTTTCGGAACGGATTAATTTCGTATCCTGAGGTACCACTGTATTAATTTACTAAGCAATAGTTCAATAGTACATCATAAAATGTATTTTTGATATTAAAAGTTATTTTAGCAAAGTCTTTATTCATTACATTCAATAAAATTTAATTTTTAATATCCTAACTTTAATTTCTATATTAACTTAAAATTTACTTTATTTTATCTTATATTTATAATTTTAAATGAATAATGATATATAAAAAATATTACCTATTCTTTTACCATAGGGAACTGAATATGCTAATTTCAACTCTTCTCCTTCAAGTAGTTCTTTTTGTGTGCTAAAATAAATGCTTTTGTTTACTTGATAAGCAATAAGATTTGCGTCTTTTTCATTTTTAACTGATAAATAACACATCCAATTGCATCTATTTTCATCAGTTGTATCAAGAACATCATAATTTCCTTTTGAAAATACCTGTATGAAGAAAAAATTACTCATAACTTTGTAAACATTACAAATCTTTAAATGTGGAAACTACTTTCAATGATTAAATAGTAATACAGAAAACATTGACAAGTATAAAAAGTAATATAAAAAGAATCAATCCTTCTACTACTGTAAGAATATTCATGTTAAAAAGCTATACAGATACAGATATATACAGCATATACAGATAGCATTGATATTTTCCAGAAATCATTTGTCAAGTGACAAAAAACAGGAACAACTGCAACTAAATGATAATATTAATATACCAAAAGGTAAAAGAATAACTTTACTAAAATTGAATTCAGCATAATTTGCTGAATAATTAATAAATTCAGAAAGTCAACAAAAAATTATTAAGCTTTTTACATGTTATAAAAAATAAGATATTTTATGAAAGATCTGAAGTATGTAAATCTGATATTTACTACTTACAAGAAGATGACCAGATATTTGGGTCTATGATTCAAACAAAATTTGGTGATCATGTACCCCTAAACACAAGCAGCTCCTTGTCCAAATAATATGACACATCTCAAGTGTTCAATCTCACATCTCAATAATCCCACTTCTCAAGTGTTTCCAAAAAAATGGGCCAGTGATAGATACTTTAAAATTATTATTTTACAGTATCATTGGCATTATTACTACTATTATCATTCCTCATGTTTAAAGCTTATAAAACAAGATATTAAAAAATCATGACATCATTTCCTGTTTGGAAAAAATACAGTCTCTTGTATGTCATCAAATACAATTTTTATTTCTTCATTTATTTTCAGATATTTTCACTCATGTTATATACTATGTCAACACAAGCAAATAAGCTTCAGACATTACTGTGGATGAATAAAAATAACAAATCTAATATGAAAATAGGATAGCATAGTTACAGCATTATTTTTTTTAATTGTTAATGTTATGGACAATCTCCTCATGCACTCTTGTTTCTTATACTTCAAATATAATAATACCAGATATAATTTTCAGATTCAGTCTGAAAATAAATACAAAGAAATAAAATTTTATTTGACATAAAAGATTTAAAGCTACAGATATTGCATTTGTTCCAAGCACGAAATGACATCACAATTTCTTAATCTTTTGTATTATAAGCTTTAAATGTGAGGAATAATATAATATTAATAATGTTAATTAATAAAGTAAAATAATAAAATAATTTTGTTACACATAAAAAGAAATTAAAATTGCAAAGGCTTGAACCTACATCATGTAGCTCCAATGAATAGTGTCTTATCCACTTGGCTATTGCCATTAGAAAGAGAAGTGAAACTTATAAATTAAACATTCAATTTTCAGAGGACCAGTTTTTAGAAATGCTTGAGAAGTGGATCCTATTATTTGGTCAAGGAGCTGTTTGTGTTTCGAGCTATGTGCACACCAAGTTTTGTTCAAATCAGAAACCAGAATGTCTGGCCATCTCCTTGTTAGCAGGAATGTAAAGTTTGAGTCAGAGCCAGATTTATAAAAACTGGAGCCATAGCCATTAAAAATGTGGTTTCATGGCTCCATTTGTACACACGGGAACTTGGTGTTACCTGGTCACCTAAGATAGAGCAAATCAGTCAAGATGAATTTTCAGTAATAAAACATTCAATTAAAGTTGATCACAATGAATAAATTCATTCAATGAAAAAATGTGTATATATATTGAAATTTTAATTTATATAATTTGTATGTTATTAAATTCACATTAATAGAAATGCCAATGATAAAACTTTCATGGATATTTTCTTTCTGTCTAATACATTAGAAACATTAGTATCTGTAAATAACCTTGTTAAATGAAATATGTAAACTTAAGAGTTTCTTTCTGTAACAGATATCATTTAAAATCAACCCTAAACAGAGTACAAGCCTGTATTTCATTTTATAAATTTTTTTCATTGAACTTTATACAAAAAAGCTATTAAAATCTATTTTATAAGTGATAAATAACACTTATAAAATTTTTAATGTCCTATATATTATAACAACACATGTAACTAACCAAATACGGGTTTCAAACGAATAGCCAGATTCCTTTATTGAAGTATTTAAGACCCTATATCTTAAAAAAGTTTTTCTAAAATTATTTAAACAAGTACACTAAAGAATAGAAAAACTGCTTTTCTTATGTTTAAAATTGGCATTCTGGTGCTTCCAAATGTAACATAAAAAATAGATATGTGTATCACTTGCTCAAATGGACAAGAACATTAATATTAAATGTTTTTAATGCCAGAAAACAATTTTGTTCTTTAGTTTTATATATCTGTAGTAGTGTAATGTACTTTTAATTAGTTAATTTGAAATAGAACAACTAACAAAATCATTTTTGAGTTTTTTTTTCTAATCTTCATTCATTGTCTGTATTTCAGTTTCATTACTTCATTTCAATACATAACTATTAATTTCCTCTGTCATTTTTATACTATAAGGATAGTACCAAAAGTAATGATCATTCTTGAAATGCTTTTAAATTGAATATTTTAAATTGCTTTATACAGTTTTACCCTTCCTTTGGAAAACTTTTAAACTAGGTTGAACATCATTATACTCATGGAGTCCTGAGATACTGGGTAGAAAAATGGCTGAGTAGAGTGTATCCTTTCATCAGCATCAAATCATAGAACTTCTTGTGAAGGAGAATACCCAGTATCCAAGATACAGAATAGTCTTGAGTGGTTACTGTCACAAGATGGGTCCAGCATTTCAAAGCTGGAAATATGCAATAGCCTTCAAGTATGAAAATCTTATGTTAAAATAAAATGCTAAAACACTTTGAAACAACTTTATTTAGCACTACACAAAAAGATCAAACAAGTAAGTCATTCTCTTGCATGATAATGTATCTCACCACATATTCCAGCATTCATGGAATTGAGACAAATGGCTGAAAAATTCTTCCCCATCCTTCCAAACAGTCCAAACTTACAACCTTAGACTATCACTTATTTAGCCTTGAAAAGAATCACTTGAGGGGACAGCACTTTGAAATGATGGAGAAGTCTAGGAAACTGTATATTGTTGGGCTGCAATTTGAAAAATAGATGATCTATAAGTTTCCATTGCCATCTGTCTGTCTTTCCTAAATCTTGAGAACAGAGTTGGATAGATGAAATCTGAAACCAGATATGAAAACCTTTGGATAGCAGGCCCCAATTAACAGTATACAAACTTCTGATGCAAACAGGAAGTCATGTTATTTCAATTCAAAAATTTTCCCCTGAAAGGTGTTAGATACATGACCGGCATGACTATTGTTAAAGGTAAAATTGTTAAAGTATAATATACAGGGGCAAGCCGCTACTAATTTGAGATGGAGAGCATATATTTTAAATTAAATAAATTAAAGATATGATTAAAAATTGCAGTCCAGCACTGTGACAATGTCATAATAAATATTGTTTGTTGCTTGTAATTTCCAGAATGAAGTGGTATCACAGAAATATCACTAAATTGCCTAAACCAGTGTTTCTCAATGGGGGCAATATAGCCCCATGTGGGTGTTTTTCCATGTTGAGGGGACGATTTGTAACAATTTATATTTTGGGTGGCGAAAAATAATTTTCTGGGCGATATACTAAAACATTATATTAAGAATTAGATATTTTATTCATTATATCGTACAATAATTAAACAAATAACATTATACTAGTCACTAGTCTATTCAATGTAGTACGAATTTGGCATTAGCCTTGGCCCTCGGCATCAGAATTTTGAAGTGTAGGGGGCGATACTACGTAACGGTTTTATTGAAGGGGGCGATACTACGTTGAGGGGGGTGACGATTTGTTACAGGTTGAGAAACACTGGCCTAAACAATGGCAAAAATGCATTTATGAAAATGAAAATTTCATTTAAAAATATAAAAATTTTCAGTCTTTTTTTTAGTATACTCATTTACCTTCTGTGGACCAGAGTTTCATGTAAACAAATTGGTAATTATTATTTTTGGTGCAAACCTTGTAATTTATTACTTTATTTATTTTTACTGCAATACAATACATTAAAAAACAATAAAAACTTTTACTGATTTTATTTTATTAAAAGATAAACATATGTTTGATAAATAATGATAAAATAAATCAATGCATTTTCTATAATAATGCTGAAAAATAAATACCAGTAATGGAAAGTCAATGCCATCAATCAATTTATTACAAGTTGGAGCTTCTAATGGTCCAAACTGTGTCCCTGATGGTATATTTGCTTTTGTAAGAACAGAAAATTTTCCATTCCTTTTTATCAATTTTAAATTCTCTGGCAAAGTAAGTCTAGCTCTGGAAGGAACAGGCACGTCTCTTACTTTTTTAACAGCTTTTAAAAGTGGACACTGTGAGGTATCATGTTGATCTCCACAGACATCACATTCTGAAATTACAAAAAAAGTTATAAGTATATAAAAGTTTTAGAAGTTAGATTATAAAAAACATAAAATGAAATTTGATAATATAAGTCCAGGCTATCCAAAGTAATGTGTAAATGGACAAAAGCCAGATGACCAACAGGGCTGTGGAGTCAGAGTCGGAGTCGTGGAGTTTTGGTGTTTTAGCCGGAATCAGAGTCGTCAAAAAATCCGCCAACTCCGACTCCTTTTTTACTTACCAACTTGTTATGTATATAAAACAGAAAAGTATTGGAATTGTGTCAAATTTGACCTTCCAAGTTTTTTTTGCAAATCTACACATTTGGAAACCTCCCGAACCCCTCAAAAAAGTCAATAAAGGGAAAAAATTTGCACGCGTGTGTGTGTTGGTGTCTAATTTGTTTAATTTCTTTATTTTCTGTTCTGAGATATTAAACAATATCTCAGAACAGGTAAAGTTTAAAAAACGAAATGTAGCACTGTAGCTTGCGTATAAAGGGGCATTAATACTATTAAATTTTGGTTCCTAATTAAAGGTCGACAGGGTGAAGACATAAAAGTGGTCATGTGTCATATCTCTTAATGAATATTTTACTCGTTATTAGTGTTCGAAATTAAAAAAAATAAAATAAAACCATCTCTACGTTCAAAGTAAGCTTTTTTGCCATTTTATAATAGTATAGTAAAATCCGTTAAGATGTTAGAATGTATATGGGGACATGATTTAGTTCAACCACTTTGACGCTTAATAACTAACTCCTGTGTTAAACCATCTGACTCTGATTCTGACCACTCTGACCACAGAAATTATTAGGCTTCAAACAGGGTGAAAAAATCGTGCCCCCCACACACAGTCTAACATCCACACATATAGAAAAAACCTGAAATCTTTTGCGTATCTCAAAATTTCTAGGTGTCCCCGAGTCCAAAAATGTAAAAATTTAGGAGAGATCATTTTTTGACTGAGCGCTACACTTTCCCTCTGTTATATATAATAGCCGGAAAAGTAAAAATTATCAAATACATATTTATATATTACTTAGAGAAGTCTTTTAGCTTTGGAATAAAAAGTTTCTACGCTCTATCTTTATTAGAACTCTATTTATTGAATCTTTTATTCTGAGGTCACATGATAACATCAGAATTTCTGGGTCTCTTTCGGTAACAAGTCCACTCCTGGTTGGAGTCGAAATCAGTTGGTAAAGAAAAGTCGGAGTCAGTAGATTTTTACGCGACTCCACAGCCCTGATGACCAAGATGGCCTTTCACTCTGAGGACCTGAGAGTGAGTCTGATTGCCTGAAAAAGCTCAGAAACTTTTTCCATGAACAATCTGTCATAAATATGTCAGGTTCCATCTCTCCCCACCTATCTTTAAATATGGAAATTGCTTTTTATGGGCACTAAAGAAGCTCTTTTACCCCCAGATATAGGAAAAAGGCCTTACTGTTTTCAAGGTTTCCAGAAAGGGTAGGAAAAAAAGTGAACTGAAAAAAAAATCACAGATAATCAAAATCTTGAGGACACAAAATGCAAAGTGATTAAGTTTATAACAATATTTTTGCATTTTGTCAAAGTTTTATGATATTTACAATTAAGATTTATGATAAGATAATTTATTATTTTTACTCTATGCCAATGGTATTCAAACATTTTAACAGTGCAACCCCAAGGTAATTTTCTGCGACCCCATTTGGGGTTGAAACCCATAGATTGAATAGCATTGCTCTATGCAGTGTGGCAGTCTTATATGATACATTGTTTTTTCAAGTTTTGAGCTATTTTTCTAGCTTCATTGATGAAAGCTCAATTTATATAGGGCAAATTATGGTAAAAATGTGGACTAATGATGTTATAATTAATCATTCTTCATTTCATAGATGTTATAAAACAATGAAAAAGAATATGGTAGAATTAGTAAAAATAAGCTTTCTATAAGCTCAACCAACTTTTGTTTATTGGGACAGTAAATCAACATTTACATCAAAACAATTAAACATCTGCCTAATGTATTGGACTGATGAAAAAATTTATTCATTTTTTTTCATAGGTTTTTTATTCTAATCTTGAGCATGCTTCTGCAAGAAAGAATTGAACTTTAAATTGGTAAGAAAGAATATATTTTAAAATTGTTTAATTGTCAATGGTAGTAATTAACAGAGTAAAATTTACAAACAGAGAAAAGGATACATATTTAACATTTTTGTATTTTAACCAACCATGTTTTCAATGATTGGTTGAGAAACAATATGCTCCACCTTTCTTTGATTTTTAAAGTAAATATGACTAACATTAGCTATATGGATGAAGATTTCAGTTTGAATGGGAATGTTAAAAAATAGTTGTCAGATTTTTTTGAAGAAAAAGTGAGAATGGAGATTCTTTTGTGGCTGTAAAATATGTGTACCAAAGGATAGTTCGAACTCTGGAGTTAGTGAAACACTGTGTCAAAATATCTCTAACTAAAGAACAATAGACCCAGAACTAACTTCTGATGTGTATAATACAAAAATTAACACTGCACAAATGTTTTCCAACTCCTTGTGAGTTCTTTGGATCTGAATGAATGATTATCAAATGGAATGTTATCGGAACTAATGCCTATTTGTAAAAGTTTTTAAAACAATGTAATTTGAACAACCATTTGAAAATATAAATATAAATTTTATGTTATATAAGCATTGTCATGCACATAATGATCATTCAATAATACAATACTACTACAATACTACAATACTAATACAATACAATACTAATGACTACAATATTGTGTCAAACAGGGCCTGCCAGGTCATTGACAACACCATTTCCCATTTAAAATTTATACAGAATGACTCAAAGTTAGCTTTAAAAATTTCTATGGCCCCCAACTATCTGAGATGCTCTGTGTACGATGTTGTGAGGAGGAGTTTGGCCCATGTGAAGTTTGCAACTATTTCCAGGTCTACCGTATACATAGAGAGGGCTGTAGATGTTCTGGCATGTTGCACATCTGAGATATGATCTTGTATTCTTCTTCTTGTGAACCCAATGTACAGAAAGTCCCTATCACATCTAGTGTCTCTGACAGAAACACTGTATATGCTGGGAAGTCTGCTAGGGTTGGCAGAGTCCTTTCCATTTTGAAGGATGGTAAAAATAGACAGGCAAAAGAGCATCTCAGATGGTTGGGGGCCATAGAAATTTTTAAAGCTAACTTTGAGTCATTCTGTATAAATTTTAAGGAAAAAATAGTGTTGTCAATGGCCTGGCAGGCCCTGTTTGACACAACATTGTAGTCATTACTTGAATGATCATTAATTAAGCGAATGACAATGCTTACACAACATTAAATTTATATTTAAACGAAAAGCAATATGAATTGCACGTTTCCTGGCAATTTTTGCAAATAATGAACATAGGAAGGATGGTAGGTTATACACAACCATTCCATCTTCCTACTATGGTCTGTTATAGAGATGTCTACCTTTGGTGTGGATTCTGGAGAAATTGTGGATCCAGTGAATTGATCCACTATGAATATTTTTGAATGGTCATTCAAATTGTTTTAAAAATTTTTACAAATAAGCATTAGTTCTGATAACATTCCATAGGGTAACCATTCAGTCAAACCTGATAATGAACTCTGAAGGAATTGGAAAATGTTTTTGCAGTGTTCGTTTTTTGTATTATATTCACCAGAAGTTGATTCTGTATCTGTTGTACATATATTCCAGCATGGAATGGTGTGTATATAAACAAGAACACCTGGGAAAAGACATAATAACTGGAGTATGTAAATTCAAGTTGAACTGCATATAAGATTAGTGTATGAACAATACAGCAATAATATTAATATTACATTAATACAAAACAGTTTATTGCAGTTAATAAAATGTTGAGATATTAAGTTTAATGGTGGTCATTTATCTGTTTGTAAATACAACAGTTATAAAGTATTAATTGAATGTGATAATATTGCTGTTGACAAAAGATGATATTTATGAAAAATTAAGCAAAATTTGGAATCCAGTTATCCACATCCAATCATATATCTTAACAAAACTTGGATATTTATGTAGTGACAGTGTACAGTTTATAGTATTACATACTGGAAATGAAAATGGATGGATTTCAAATGCAAGTTTGTTATTCCATTCTAAATCTCAGTATGCCAATTTGATCAATCAACTTGATGAATTCTGAGAATTTTCAGCATTGGCTTGTTAACAAACTCATACCCATTATTCCAAAGAGTATTATTATTGTAATGAACAATGTCCCATATTATTCACAGCAAATTGATAATGTCCCTGTGCATGGAAAAAAGATAATATTGTGTCTTGACTATACCATCATAACATTTTGTATCCTCCCAATACCTTGAAGAGGATGTTGGGTGGATACTAATTCTGGTTAAAGAAAATAAGGTAAAAACTAAGTTTTATGTCATTGATGAAATATTAAAAGAACATGTCTATTCAGTTTTACATCTACTGTCATACTATTGCGAATGAATCTCATCAAGCTTTGTTCAGCACAGACTGAACAGTTTTTTGTCAGAAAAAAAATGTTGATAGAAATGCCACATTTTATGAAAACAATGTAAAAATGATATGGCAAAACCTGTCAATAACATAACTGCAGACAGATGAGCTGACTGCATTAAGCATGGAAGAGAGACTGAGAAGAATTACATTGTCTTCTATTAGCAGCCAGTATAAGGGCTGCTAATAGAAGATAATATAATTGATCCAATTACATTTTCTATAAATAATACCAATAATGAAATAGATAATCCAGTAAAGAAATTGATCAATGAAATAATCTGATATATCTATTAACATCATTTGAGCAATATTTTTATTTAAACAAACAGTCCTTTTCAAAACTATTAATAATTGCTAAAGAAATTGATTTTGATTATTTAACATTTCTATAATATTCAGATAAAACCATAATCATGAAACTTGATTCAGATACAAGTACTTAATTCATTGTTTAAATGAATAAATATTTTAATCTGTCTTACATAAAGCTTCAACATTTACTTATTTTCAGTTTTTTAAGTTTTCAACCTTCCATGAGGGACTGAAGAATGATACATTTTGCCCAGCAAAGAGAAAAAAATCAAAAATTGAGTCGTATAACACCGACTCGTGTCGCGACAGGATTGGTCGAATCTAGACCAATAGCGGACATTGCACAAACTGTTGAGTTTAAACGAGCAGCAGACCTACTAAAACCATTTATTATTTAACGGCCATAAAAATTATATTTATATTAATGATGTCTCCAAAGTCAAGCGAATTTTTCGCAGAAAAGTAACTTATCAGGAAACACATGCCCGCCGTTTGATGAGCCGCTCCACGACGAAAACAAGCTTAAGCAATGGCATCTTCGAACAGTGCGCTCTCGGTAAGTAATCCTACAATTTTTTGTTTATAGCATAGTTTATATGGATTATTTCCAAAAAATTATACATGATTTGGAAATGTTGAATCAAATTAATCTAGAATTGATTAATTTTATGGAAGAAAACTTTTCAAACTGCCGTAGCCGCTAAACTGCACACGTGACGGGCTGTGATTGGCTCATGTATTTAAGTGACTCGTACAACACAGAATTCATATAACACAGAACGTATCTACCGTGTTATAGAGGGGTCTACTGTACAGTACATTACAGTATTAAGTTCTTTTTCCCTTAATCTGATGCTAAATTTTACTACAACAGATTCGATCTTGGTTGCTAAGAAATATGGTAAAGGTGAATCATGTATAGTATGTGATTTGACCATTTTGGCATTGCTATCAGTATTTATAATACATTTAGATAAACTCTAAAAACTGCAGTTACTCTTAGAGATTAAGCCAAGACTTTCAAAGAACAATACTCTATTTTTCAAAATTTACTTTTTTTACATACACTCCTTCCGTATATAACTTGCTTCACACCTATCAGTCACTGACTTGTCTTCACACTTCACATGTCCCAGACAAAACAGTGATTTCAACTAAAAATGGGAGTATAGTATTTAAATGCAAGAATTGAGAACTATTAAACTGAAAAAAGTTTGTTGTGTTCCTGAGAATTTGCACTAGGTACTTGAATACTGAAATTTCTCAGATGCATTCCTTATGAACTCACTCAACAGCAAACCAGCCAATTTGAGAACCAAGAACTAATGTCTGGCTCTACCATTGTAAATTCTACTTGAATTGTAATAATCTCAATATAACTGGATCAAATACTATTATACATGTTATTCTGTGCTCTGACTTCTCAAGAAATTTTAATACTTTAATTAATTGTTAACTTTAATCTCTATACTAGTTTCAGAATTGAACTCTTGGATTGGACTGTTGAATATAGTTATTTTTGCCTCTTCAATTAGTCTCACATTTGACAGCTTCTTTGTAATAAAATATATTCATTTCCTATTCTTGGAGATGTTTATTTTTATCAACCTCCTTCTTTTCAGACTTTGATTGGATCTAAAAATTCTTTAATTAAGGGTACTGTTCAGACCAGCAGACGATATTTTGTTTTATTTTATTTTAAATAAAGACTACCGAGAGGTGCGCTCTCTCTCTCTCTTCACGTACTTTTTTTAAAAAATTTTGTTCTAGCTTTTTTTCATCTGGAGAATGTGTTCTTTTTTCTATGTGGCTGATGTTGGCTCTGTGTTAATTCAGGGCTGAACCCTGAATCTACATATCATTTTGTTCTACTTTTTGTGTATCCACAAATAAATTCACCAGCTATTTACTGGAGATGCTTGGTGCATTCATTTATGGTCCACTTTGTAATTAGGTGCACAACAGGTACTATGTGCATCTTTATCCATATTTCCATATTGCTTTTATATTTTATTTTTGTTTTTATTTCATTACTAGTATAATTATTATATTAATGTAATGTGCATTTCTTTCATTTTACAAATATGCTAAATAGTACAGTTTAAAACAAACTGATGCTTTTACACTTAGAAGTCTTAAATCAAAACAAATTTAAAACTGTTTACACATTCAAATGTTTTCTTAAACACAACAGAAATTTACAGACTACTTAATCAAATTTTCCAATTCAAATATTTTTGAGTCTACTTATGGGATGGAAAGAGTTCCAAAACATGTTTAATCCAATAAAAAACATTAATCTTCATAATTATTAACAATGTTTATCAATTTGTTCTCAAATATTCAGTATCAAAACAATGTAAATAAATGCACCCTACACACAACACCATCTGTGGCCATCCAGTAAACCAGTCTAGCGACCACAGGAATTTCAAGTTCCCTCTCATAACTTTGTCTAAATGGCAGACCATCAGTTGCCAGAAATTTGGGGTGGTAACTAATGGTATATCATAATTAATAAAATTCCACACTGAAGAATTGTTGAAAATATTTGTTTTCTTTGTTTAACAAAATTTTTAAGCAAAGAAAAAGGAGATGGATTAATCATTATTAATTAATTTAGCAAATATTTATTTGAATTTAAACTTAATGAAGAATTTAAGCATAATGATGTAAACAGATATTATTACATACTCATATAGCTCATGTGATCTATGCTTTCATTTGCAAGACTCAACTATAATAAATAAATCAATTTATCTTAGTAAATAATTTAATATGAGATTCATAAATTTATGATACAATTGTTAAGAATTACATAAAGATAACCATACATAGCAACTCTCAATAAAGTAGTTGGACCTTATCAGAGCTGTAGACCATGCCCATAGGAGTAAAAAAAAGTCAAAGGAATCAATGATCTATAAGCGACCTTTTACATGTAGCCCCTTAAAATCAGCCTATCTGGAATTTTGAAGGCACTAAAAATATTTTTATTAATGATTTTTTTTTCCTATTATTTATACACTCATCAACAGATGAGAATATAAATACTGAGATTCAAATATCTCAATGACCTTAATCTTACATTTATAACAGCCTGATTTATAATATAAATAATGTGTGAAATGGAAGAGAAATTGTCATTTGTAATGCTGGTTATTTTGTAAAATAAGAAAATAATAATAATTAAAATAATCCTTTTCAGAAGAAGTATGGAACATGTAAAATAAAAATAAAAAAGTACGACAAGTCTAAACATCAAACTGAGGATGGTAGCATATGTAAAGGAAAACAACAAAACAATGGGGAATAAATAATGATGATTGAAAGATAAAGCATGTCAATAAATCTGTATTATCAGAAACTGTTTAAGCTCACTTCTGTTTAAACTACATTAAGATTTACATAAAAATGATGTTTTATATGGCAATAGAAAAAACACAGTTCATCTAACTACTTTAATGCATTAAAATTTAGAATGTATTATCAGTTTTCTTATTTGTATTAAATTATTATTATTTTTTTAAATAAATACAATACATCATCATCAACTTTTCCTTAAAAATAATAATATTCATTACATTTAATCACATTTTTATAAATAAATATTATTATTATTATTTAAACTGAAATTGAAAAAATTTAAATAATCTGTTTCAAAGATAACACAGGAATACAATACAATACAATACACTTAGCAAATGTTAAAAGGAGAAATCAAACGAAACGAACGGAAATCATACCTTCTAGTTCATCAACAGGCTTTGTTGGTGAATCAACTTTTCCCATCCTATTTTTTACTGCAAATAAAAATTATTATATTAATATAAAACATTGGTTTTATTATACAATATATAACGATAACAAATCAATGGATAATAGTCGATGACCATTACTCTGCTATTTACTTTGATAAAATATAAAATATAAATAGTCGATTTACATCGAAATTTTATGTTTATATTATAAAATCATAATTCAAATTATTTTATTAAATTGAGATTAAACGGAAAAGTAGCGATAATCGAAACATTTGAACAATTCAATTTACCTCCGTTTTATTCGTCTACTACATGTTTTACCAATACCGAAATATCAGAGCGCCATAAATGCCGTCTAAACTACAATAGGCATGGACAGAAAATAAATCGATTAATTAATAACCTTTATTAATATGAAATTGAGTTTAAAATAATTTTTCGGGACCAATGTAAATGTAATAATTCATTCTTTATATAGAGTATTTTTACATTACTTGAATTTTTATAAAAATCAAAATAATGAGGCCGGATGACCGAGGTGTTGTTATGGCGTTACTCCAGCGGTCCCCAACCTTTTTATCGCCGCGGACCGGTCAACGTTTGATATTTTACCGCGGCCCACTGAGGGGAGGACGTTGATTGTTTATATTTTAGATTGATTTAATTTAATAATTTTAATTGTATTTAAACATGCCTTCAAAATAAAATATAGTTACACCAAAAAATGAATATAATGTGATTTAACATTTTAACTCACTAGAGCGTTAAATCAATGAGAATCCTGAGCTTGTTTCTTTGCAACAAGACGGTTCCATCTGGGGGTAATAGGAGACAATGACACCCGAAGTGTGTTTCTTATGTCCAGTTTATTCCGTTGTTCCGTCGTCCATTAAAAGTCGCACAAACCCGAGAGAAATACACCACAGTAAATAAAATGGAAATACCAGTACTGTAGTTTAATGTTCCTTGGGAGGCCCGGTACCATTTGATCCACGGACCGGTACCGGTCCGCGGCCCGGGGGTTGGGGACCACTGCGTTACTCTATCGCTCTGAGGGTCGGGGATCGAATCCGGGAGAGGAAATCACTAGGATCAGTGTTACCATCAAAATACAAACCCCCAAAACTCCTGATCATCGCATTACTAAAGTTGATCAACAACAATCTCTCCATACCAATCCAACTCCTGATCAACAGCCAGCAGAGATCACAAGGGACAAACCAAAATCCATCCCATCAGATTACGACACATAAATTTCCATTAGTCCTAAACGCAAAGAGCGCAAAGAAAACACAGACACCAGCGAAAAAACCAGTGGGACCCGGGAAAAAAAATCAAAGCAAAAAACCACTGATAATCAAGGCCTCAAGCAACAACATGAAACTTATCCAATGGAATATTAACAGCGTACGCAACAAATACGACCAACTAAAAATAGAACACACATGGGATTCATACGACATCATCCTTTTACAAGAAACTTGGATTTCAACCCAACACCATGCAGACTTTCATGGTTACAATGCTTTCTATACTCAGGAAAATCGGTACAGGTGGTGGGTCTAACCATCTACATCCGGAAGTCCATTCCGGTTAAACTCTACCATCCAAGAAGCTTCCAGGCGATGTTAACCAGAGTGGCAGGTGCTGGATATTTTCTCACCCAATCGCCTCCGCCTCATAAATATCTACTATCCCCCTTAAGCAAACGCTAAAGACCTTGATCTACTATTCCGTCTTACTACTACCACTGCCATCATTATCACAGGTGACTTCAATGCTCATCACTTCCTCTGGGGTAACACAAAATCAGACACCAGAGGAAAATTATTAGCTGATATCATCCAAAGATCCAACATGATTTTGCTTAACGATTTAAAGTGAAAATTCCACACCATTTACTCACTTCTTTGTTATATCCAGTAACGCTCCTTGAAATGTTTTATCTCCATAAGTGAATGATACAACGATGACATCAACTAAGGCCTCTTCGACAACGACCCATATATAACACCAGGGGCACAATAACACCAGGGGCACAAAAACAGCCATCGACCTTACTCTAGCTACAAGCAATATTGCCAGTGTTTCCAACTGGACCCCCTCAATATAGATCACGGCAGCAAACACAAAGGTATCACGTTGGAGTTCCAAACCAAACACGCTACAAATCCAAAGAGTAGTCTCTCTACAATTCCGGACTTCTCGCAATTCATGCAAGATCTTAATAGTTAGGCCTTCAACACTGATTGGTCTTATGATCAATTACAACAGCAACTCACCACGTTATTCCAAAAGAACTACTGAATTCAACGTAATCAAAACAAAAGCAATCCTCCTTGGTGAAATACAATGTCAACAAACTCTAAACAAAAAACGCAAAGCAAGATCCAAGTTCATCCATAACTTAAATAAAAAACTGGGTTAATTTCAAGTAAGCCATTACAAAACTTACAACATATCATCAAGGAACAAAAACGCTTTTTCTGGGCAAAGCAGAAATCCAGTCCCTAGTTCAAGAAGAATATCTGGAAATTACTACAAAGAATTCGTCAACACTCTGCCATTACCTGGAATCTCTACCTTATTTCCAATAATGGTCACGTAATAGTGGATGCTACAGACCAAGCCAATGCTTTTGCCATCCACTACATTATTCCTAACAGCGATGTTCCACTTACCACCCGCTTTCCGATTCAGAGTCAGTACATCAAACAACACACCACCACCTTCCAACTCCCTGAGCTTTGCGAAGCCTTACGACGTGGAAGAGATTCCACCCCAGACCAAGACAAGATTAGCATGAAAATCATCTCTCTTAAATTGTTAAATGTCTATAATCGTATTTGGGATAATGGCATCATTCCGTCGACCCTAAACAAAACAGTCATCCTCCCCATTTGCAAATTTGGCAAATACCCTTCTGAGATATCTAGTTATCGTACAATTGCGTTGACCTCCCACATCAGTAAAACAATGGAACGTATGATTTTGCACAGATGGATAAATTTAGCTCACAATGAAGTTTGGTTTAACCCTAAACATTCGGGAGGTCTTCCCAACCAAGGGTGCAGAGAAATTCTTACCCACATGTTCATACAGATCCATATTCTTCGTATCAGAGGTGCTTCATAACATCATTACCATCAACATCTACAAAGCCTACGACTCTGTCATAGGCCTTGTATTCACACGCAATATTTATCATTGGAATGTGTATTACGTATTGCTTTTTGTGTATACGTTCTGCTTTTTGTGCACATTCAATTTATTCTATGAGAAATACTGGTAAAGCAATCATTTGGAATCTTTTTCACTTGCTGTGAAAAATTTTTTATCTATATAATTAACAAAAATTCATTTGAACACAAGTAAATGATTCATTACAAGAATTTGAATTTAGATTTTAATGTCGAAGATAAGTCAAAAGTAAATTGTTACCAGAGCCTCTTCAGCCATCGGTCGTATCGACCGATGTTACCGCTTCCCGGGACGTGGACCCAGAGGTTGGATTTTGGGAAGCGTGTTCGTGTTGTGAAACGGTGTTGTTTATAATGCACGTGAATGGAATGGTTGGTGATTGGATGCGACGAATGTGTCGTTGTTTGAACTGTGTGTTTCAGCGTGAGGGATGTTGTTGTTTATGTGCGTGGATGTGACTTACTAAACTAATGTGAGTACGACAAGGGGAAAAAAAATAAAAACCCCTTGTCTTCTTACATCTAGATTAGTAAATTAAATTTAAGGTTTTAGTTTGAATGTTAGTATGACAAGAGGAAAAAAAAAAAAAAAACCTCTTGCCTTCTTATCCTAAATTAGTAAATATAAGTATGACAAGAGGAAAAAACAAACGAAAAAAACCTCTTGCCTTCTTATCCTACGTTAGTAAATTGAAACTAAAACCTTAAATTTAAATGTTGTTAGTATGACAAGAGGAAAAAACAAACGAAAAAAACCTCTTGCCTTCTTATCCTAGGTTAGTAATATCCTTCAGAAATAGCAAAGGAAAAAGTCGTTCACTTCTCTTACGAAGCGACGCTTTTTCCTTTCCATCTTTGCCCACACCGAACGAGAGGATCCCACTCGTTGGAAAAGGGAGGAATGATCGAAACATTCCTCCCCTCCCAGTGCGTCAAAGATGATGTCGTCAACATGGAGACATTTCACCTTTCGGAACACGTCCGAATGGCGAAATGTCTCCTCTCCGTTCAACGCGGAACAGAGAATGCTGTCGACATCCGCTATTCCCGAAGGCGATCCCGTGAAGGAAGAACCCCTTCCGCAATCGATGGAAGAGAGTTCCTCTCCCCGCTCGAAGGGGGAAAAGACCCTCTCTTCATCTATTGCGGAAGGAGAACGCCCTTCACACTTCTTCATCTTCTTGGGCCGCAGCCAACGCCAAAACCGCCAGCTCTTCATTCTGTAAAGAAACAAAAATATATATTAATGGGATGCGGATATACTTAACGCAGAAAAAGTTCAACATTATACTCACGACGGATCGGAATTCGTGTAGCTCATGTTAGATCCTATCGGAAATTGCTAGAACGTTCGAACTGCATTTGCAGTAGAGACGACCGACCCGGAACGAATAAACTCTCTTACGTGTAATTTGTATTTGTACGACAGAAAAGTAAACACGCCGCACGTAGCCATGCGCAAAAGGCACTCGTACTCGATCTCGAGCCCAAGTCGTAACAAGTATTTCGTTCTAGAGCAATTTACCCTAACGTGCGTCACCTAAACGCAACGACGGCATTTAAGAGGGAAATTGCGCACGAGAGTCGACGTTTAAGTGGCACAAAGCATTTGCAGAGGGTTACGTAAGTGTGGAAGATGGACTGCACTCAGAAAAGACCGCATTGTGGAAAGAGACAAACAGCTTAAGGAAAAGAATTCTTTGTGTCCAGCCTGTATAGATAACTGTTAAGTGTATTAGATGTGTTTTAAGTGGTACAGAGCTGCAGACAATTTAATTCTCGCAAAGTAAGCCATTGAAAAGCGTTGTAACTAATACATAGATTCAATGGAGAAGTCGGAGGTGAAAGGGCGAAATTTTTGACGTCCCAGATGTGTCGAAGAAACATCTCATACTTCAGAATGCCGTCTCCGTCCATCCGGTTTCGAGTGTATATTTTAGTTAAAATTACGATACGCAATTCGTATTTAGAGCTAATTAGTATTAAATAAGTTTTAATTGAATTTCTATAAATAAGATATTTGCAAGTAATCCTTATTCTTTGACCGTGTTTATAAAATACAGTATAATCTAAATTAATTAATTACGAAAATAAACCAATGAACAAATACTTGATCCTTTGCCTCCGTCGTTTTCGGCGCTTCGGTCGCTTTCCAATGTGGCGGCTGGTTTAAAAGTCGAAAGAGGTGCGTTTCGGGTGGTAATTCAAACGAAAAACACAAGCGACGGCAGTTTTAAACGCAAATATGCAAAGTCCGAGTCGCCCGATGTCGTCTCCGAAAATTGGACTAAAGGAAACGAAAATAAAATCTTACAGCTAACTAAATTCTAATTAAAATCTTACTTGGTGTAATGTCGGCGTCCACAAGTCTTCTTAAAACCACGTAAAAAGGGCAAAAAACACAGCAGAAACCACAGCAAAGAGCGCACACGTTCGTCCGGCAAGCGAAAAACGTGCAAACTGACGCAAAATCGTGTTGCAACAATACGCGTTTCCATAGAAACGGCAATTGTTGCGAGATTAGAAAGCTCGCAACGAATTCGAATGCGATTGACGTCATGGATTCTTTTTGAATTTTAAGGCTAAATATCTGCATTTTTCACGTTTCTATCCCCCGAGTGACGACGGATTGGGATCGACAGACTCCCTACCACCGTCTGCCTTCGGTTTCCATTCTTCACAAGGGGTTAGAAGCCAGATTTTCTATAATTGTTATTGAAACTGAGAAAAAAAATCGTTCGTTTCAAAAAATGTGACTGTTTTTTATTAAAAAAATCTATCAATAGCAAAGAGTTGCGTAACTTTCTCGGCTGTTGAGAGATTTTATTTAGAAAATAGCTTTTATATTTTTAATTATAATAAATAAAATTGTGTGTGGCGCCATCTGTTATGAGATTTTGTTATATAAACTTTTCATATTTTTAATTATTATAAAACCGCAAAAGGATTAATTTTAAGTATAGAAGCGAGTTTTATAAAAAAAATAAAAACAAAAAAATTACAAATGCTAGTAACGAGTAAAATCTTCATTAACCCCGACCCTCTTGAAATATCACACGTATGTATATGGATTAAAAGTTGATGGTGAAATTATTTGCCAAGTGTCAATAAATTCACCAAGTCGTGACATTGAACCAAGCAAAACGAGAAGACACGGTTTCGACAAATAAATAAACTAATCTAATTTTTTTTTCATGATATGAAACCGTGCTTTAAACTTTGTTGCTGCTTCGAACACCATAAAGTGCTATAAATTAAGACACTTGGCGGGTTTACTCATTTTTATTTTAGTTGATACTAAATAAAGATGAGAAAACCCGCCAAGTGTTTCAATTTATAGCACATTATTGTGTTCGAAGCAGCAACAATCTAATTTTGTTTTTGAGCAATGTTTTTTCTGTATAAATCACCTAAGTTTACGATAAATTCTTAAATTTGTAATAATATTTTATAAGTTCAAAATCACACACACACAAACTCCACTTACAACTTATTTTATTGTAACCGTAGGATGTTCGCATTGTTTGACGTAAAATATAATTATTCAAAAGATTTTTGATGTTTTCAGATACCACACACCACAAAGACTTTCTGAATACAATGGGAATTCGATTTTTAATGGGTTTCTCACTTATTGGGAAATCAACTTTTTCTTCTAGCTCTTTTGCCCTATTTATATTGTACCCTTTGAACTTCAATAAATGTTGACATCAATTCGTGCTCAAGATAGCTGCTAATGATTAGAATTACAAAGATTTTAATCGTGTCCAACCCATCATACAGTAATCCTGTATTCTTATAAAAGTATTGACGATGAAATACTTTTATAAATATATAGACTATTTCTTAAGAATGAATTATATTTTATTAGTATAAAATAAAATTTGCNTAAAAATTATATTAATGATGTTAAGAAAAAATACTTCAAAAATAATGAATATATATAAATAAAATTGAGTGAATGTATTGACTCAATTTGTTGTTTGTTTTTACCCAATCTATAAATTAATTAATTTCTAAGTGCATAACTGAATGTTTGTCAGCATTATAAATGGGTGATAACATGGAACCTAGCTAATAAAAAAATTATTTCTACTTCTTAATACTATTTCCTGTAATAACCATTCATATATTCATATTTAGTGGGCAATTATTGGAGTAAAAAAAATATTGACATTGTAAGAAGGAAAAAGCATGATTCCAAGAGAGACGTAAGACTGGTTAAATTGGAATAGTGTGACAAATATGTAAAAAAATGATTTGAATTATCTTAATTAACTTTGTAAATTTTGATAATTTCCAATATCAGTAATATTGAATGTCAATAACAATATTAGCCAATATTCATTTTTCCAACTTTGTTTAAACTTAACATTAATGCTTATTAATCCTTGTGCACATGGTATGGTATTTTATTAATTAACAATTGCTTTCTTAATTTGGTCATTACTTCTGAGAGATGAAATGTGACTGTCTCATGGACCCTGTAGAAGTTTGTTTCATGAAAGAGCAAAATTTTACAAAGGTGTATCTTTTCAACTTAAACTCTATTTCGTTCAATACAAGTATCCCAGCACTTAACTTGTGTATGGATTCTTGTAGAAAAAAATCTTTTGGTTGTATGCAGTTTATTGTTATGATGACAGTGATAAAAAAAACTTTTTTAGTGATAAATAAAACATGGAAATTACTTGAGTTTGGTCTCATGAGTACAGTGGATGAGGCAGACATTCAGACCAAGCACATCAAATCATTACTCAGTGTATCTAGTCAAGGTGAATCAGTTCACATTAATCATGCCATTACTAAACTTGCTGATTTTATGCCTTCAAAATGCAAAAATGGCTAACAGACCACTGCTCTTCCTTTTATACAAATTTTCAGTAGAATCACCATCTTTACACTGCTACTATAACATTATACAGCTCATGTGATCTATGCTGCCATTTGCAAGACATTTTGTAAGTAATTGCTGACTGTTCTGTAACTAATTACAGCTGCGTACACTCAGTCTAATTTATTTCACTTTTAGGGTTTTCATTTCACTCTCCATTGTACAGTAGAACCTCCATTATCCGGATTGTTCAAAATAAACAAAAATTTTACGAATCTGCTGATTTGCACTTGGCGAATTACGACACTGTTTATGAACGTGATGGAATGCATAACTTTTTTTTGTTTCAACAACGTGTCACCCAGCACAGTTGGTCGTAAACTCTTAAATATATTATACGTAGTAATAAAAATATAACTTGACATACGTATTTATAAATAATTTATATTCAAATTACATCATTTCTATGACCAAGGGCGGCGTAAGGCATGGACGACGTGGGCCACCGCCTATGCCTGGCGGTCCGAAGGGCCTCGCGCCTCGAAGGTTTACGCATTACTTAGAAGCCGTGAACGCGACGAAAAAATTTTACTCGTCATAAAACGATAAATAGTTTGTCAAATTTTTATTCATAAAAATGCAGTTTCAACTGCTTTTTATTTTATAAAATCCGTCTTCTTGCACCACCAGAGGGCCTTTTAAACAATAGGTNGTTTGGGAATTCGCAAGGATATAGACTTTCAATTGCTACAACGGTTGAGTTCCCGGGTCCCACGGAAGTGCACGGCGTGCTCCTGGGCACTCAACCATTGTACTAATAGAAAGTCCATAGCCTTGCGAAAGTCCAAACGATTAGACTCGGAAATAATTGCCAAGTAAATCTTTTACAATACCGAAACAATATTTTTCATTGTCTTCCGATAAATATTGTTTCTTTAACAATGTAGATCGAAACAATGAATATGCTTATTTATAAAATTTTTTATGTGAAATATTTAAGCTACTTTTATGAATTAACTAGCTGTTACCTGCGGCTTTGCCTGCCCGGATTTTGGAAGCAAACCTCATTTATATACAGTATTTCAACAACCATAATAATCTATATCTATATCTATATATATATATATTATTATTATTATTTATGTTCCAGTGTTGAATCTTCTTTACTAGGAAAGACAATCCTTTGCTGGAAAAAATAAAAATTCAATTAATGATGTTAAGAAAAAATACTTCAAAAATAATGAATATATATAAATAAAATTGAGTGAATGTATTGACTCAATTTGTTGTTTGTTTTTACCCAATCTATAAATTAATTAATTTCTAAGTGCATAACTGAATGTTTGTCAGCATTATAAATGGGTGATAACATGGAACCTAGCTAATAAAAAAATTATTTCTACTTCTTAATACTATTTCCTGTAATAACCATTCATATATTCATATTTAGTGGGCAATTATTGGAGTAAAAAAAATATTGACATTGTAAGAAGGAAAAAGCATGATTCCAAGAGAGACGTAAGACTGGTTAAATTGGAATAGTGTGACAAATATGTAAAAAATGATTTGAATTATCTTAATTAACTTTGTAAATTTTGATAATTCCCAATATCAGTAATATTGAATGTCAATAACAATATTAGCCAATATTCATTTTTCCAACTTTGTTTAAACTTAACATTAATGCTTATTAATCCTTGTGCACATGGTATGGTATTTTATTAATTAACAATTGCTTTCTTAATTTGGTCATTACTTCTGAGAGATGAAATGTGACTGTCTCGTGGACCCTGCAGAAGTTTGTTTCATGAAAGAGCAAAATTTTACAAAGGTGTACCTTTTCAGCTTAAACTCTATTTTGTTCAATACAAGTATCCCGGCACTTAACTTGTGTATGGATTCTTGTAGAAAAAATCTTTTGGTTGTATGCAGTTTATTGTTATGATGACAGTGATAAAAAAACTTTTTTAGTGATAAATAAAACATGGAAATTACTTGAGTTTGGTCTCATGAGTACAGTGGATGAGGCAGACATTCAGACCAAGCACATCAAATCATTACTCAGTGTATCTAGTCAAGGTGAATCAGTTCACATTAATCATGCCATTACTAAACTTGCTGATTTTATGCCTTCAAAATGCAAAAATGGATAACAGACCACTGCTCTTCCTTTTATACAAATTTTCAGTAGAATCACCATCTTTACACTGCTACTATAACATTATACAGCTCATGTGATCTATGCTGCCATTTGCAAGACATTTTGTAAGTAATTGCTGACTGTTCTGTAACTAATTACAGCTGTGTACACTCAGTCTAATTTATTTCACTTTTAGGGTTTTCATTTCACTCTCCATTGTACTTTCAAAAGTTATAAAAAGCACAGGTTTAACTGCAAAGTTAAATTTATGAATTTTGAAAACTTTCTTGTATTTTGTAGTGGGCATTAATTATTTTTTTATTTCACATTTCAAGTAGTGCTATTTGAAAGTAAATTTTTTGTAAATATATTTAAATTAATATCTAATATTAATTTTAGAGTTTAGAGTAAAATTAGAGAATAGAAAGACTTTCAATTTCAAAATACAATTTTAATCATAAGTAATTTGCATATAAAATTAAGTCATAGAAATTTCATAAATATAATAAAATACATTACATACTGTTAAATAGACAATTATAATATTGCAAATTGTATTATAAATAATGTATCAAATTATATTTTTATTCAATTTTTTGAAGATAAAATTTACTAACCTACATCTGGTGTATATTCACTGGAATCCATTTTCAATATATAAGGAATGATGCTATCAATTTGCACATTGCCTATTAAACCTGCGAAAAATAGCTCTTCAGTTATGTTAGGATGTAGAGAACGTAGAGCTGATAACCTGTTATTGAAAAAACATGAACATGTAATTTTTTCATTTCTGTAGCTTTATTTATTAGTATTAATATATTAACATAAAGAAATAATATTTATCATTCAAACATTAAAACAGGATAATATTTATTACCAAATATTTTCCAATTTTTCAGTTAATTCTCATATTTTCAATTAAATTTTAATAGTATAATTTTCAAAAACACAAAGAATAAGATGTCTGAGGAGTGTCAACAAAAACAATTTATTTATGTATAAATTATGTAGTATACAATGATGCAGTAACTACTGTATAAGAATTGCAATATTTTCGAACAACCTGTATATATATATGTAGTCAACATGACTAAATATTTCACTTATTACTGCGAGGATTATTCCATTTCTTTTAGAAACCTCTATGCAAACGATCACTGACATTTATATTTTATATAAAACCTGAGAAATTTCTAAATACTGGAGACCTTATACACAAACAAAAACAGAAAATAATTTAGAAAACAACGGACAACTTTTTCTTTTTCACCAAATACTATAAACAAAACCCTCTCCCTGAATTTTCTATAACAAACCAAAAAAGATCACAGACTAATCACTTTANAGTTTAGAGTAAAATTAGAGAATAGAAAGACTTTCAATTTCAAAATACAATTTTAATCATAAGTAATTTGCATATAAAATTAAGTCATAGAAATTTCATAAATATAATAAAATACATTACATACTGTTAAATAGACAATTATAATATTGCAAATTGTATTATAAATAATGTATCAAATTATTTTTTTATTCAATTTTTTGAAGATAAAATTTACTAACCTACATCTGGTGTATATTCACTGGAATCCATTTTCAATATATAAGGAATGATGCTATCAATTTGCACATTGCCTATTAAACCTGCGAAAAATAGCTCTTCAGTTATGTTAGGATGTAGAGAACGTAGAGCTGATAACCTGTTATTGAAAAAACATGAACATATAATTTTTTCATTTCTGTAGCTTTATTTATTAGTATTAATATATTAACATAAAGAAATAATATTTATCATTCAAACATTAAAACACGATAATATTTATTACCAAATATTTTCCAATTTTTCAGTTAATTCTCATATTTTCAATTAAATTTTAATAGTATAATTTTCAAAAACACAAAGAATAAGATGTCTGAGAATAATTATTTAAACTTAAAGGAATATTAGATCATAAAATATGTTACTACAGGAAAATAAATATGATAATAGAAATAAAAATAATTAAATTTATTTTCAGATTTGTATTGAAAATATCAAAAATAACATGTAAGCATAAAAAATAAGATATGAAACTACACAACTGAGGGTTTTAAAAAAATTACTGAATAAAAAAATTTAAAAGGTCTTAAAAACAAATTAGAATTTTATCATCAAATATTAACATTTGTCAAATGATATTGTAAAAGGGAAATATCTTATCATTCAAAAATAATAATATTATAAAGTTATTGTATATATATTAAATATAAGGAAGCTTGTATTAATATTATCTTTCATTTTCTTTATAAATGAACATAAAAAAAATCTATTAACACTCTTATCATTATTGTCTGGACACTTGAAAATTTACTATATTTACTGATATACTAATAATAAGTGAAAAATCTTTATTATAATTTATAGTCACAAGAGAATTCTTGTTATTAATTTTCTATTTATGTCCTTTAAACTTTAATATCATTTGCTCTTTGAAGCAATAACAAGTTTAGTATTGTTTACAGGATAATCTCTTCTCATATACACTCAATAATTAAATTCATCTTAAAAAGTTTTTGTTAGAATTAAGTCCAAATCTTGGACTAGTTACTTTATTAAAAATTTACTTTTTTCAGTTCATCTTCTCTGAATTCTCAAACTTTTGTCACAGAATAGAATCTTATCAATAAGATATAAATGATCTCAAGGTTTTATAACACTTGCCTATCCAATGCATCTAAACAGAGTCATTCATAGTTTTGTCTAAAACAGCAAATGGTTCAACCTTGAACTATTTGTTTTTTTTATCACCATATTTATTGTCTAGATATTAATCATAGTAGTATATACTAAAGCTAAATGATTGTCAGATTAAATCAGACTATATTACTGCTACTATTAATAATTAAATAATGAAAATTTGGCCCAGAGGTAGGTGTTAGGTAACATCTCTTATTAAATTTAATAATTATAATTAAAATAAAAATAATTCCTTCCAGAATTTTGTAAATTATTTAATAAAGAGATGGCACCTAACATCTATTTCTATGCCAAATTATTTAATTATTAATAGTAGCAGTAATATAGCCTAATTTAATTTGGCAATCGTTTGGCTTTAATATAGCTATTGGACTTAGAGATGTTTATGTATGTATAGTAGTACAGTAGAGCGTCGATTATCCAAAAGAATTCCAGTCGGCAAATTTAAATTTTCGCCAGTGCTGTGGTGCTGCAATCTTTTGCTATGTCTTGGGCTACTCAAATATTTTACATTTTTGATACTAAATTAACTTCTGAAGTATAATTTTTTATTGTTTTTATATTTTTCAATATATTTATTTTGTTTGTACAAAATAAAAAAATAATTTTTAACGATACAATAGTCTTCGTTAGGCTTAACATCGACGAAAATTCAACGCGAAGCGA